CGGTGCGTTCTACATAGTCTCCCTGAACACAAGACCAAGTTGCGACAACGAGGTCAACCCACTTCTAATGGCAAGAATAGTTAGCGATTATCATTGCAAGACAAAGAATCAGCTTAAGTTTGTCCGAATGAAGCAAAGAAAAGAAAAAACATTACCACATATTTGGAATGTTATTAACATGATAACAAGACAAAAAGAAATAGGGGAATACTATATCAAAAAGGATGTTTTAATTATACCAAGCTATCTACAATTACTGTTAAAAACGCCTTACAAGCATTCTGTTCTCTCGCATGTAGCTGTTTACACTAAGAGCATGTGATGTAGAAGAGAAGGAGAAAAGGCCAGAACCAGCTGCCAGCGATCCAGCTTGCGGAACACTTTCTAAAGTATTCAAAGAGGTGCCAGTGCCTCTGGAATTTCCAGAGCCAAGCATTCCGGTGGTGTTCCCGATATTCGCAGCTGCACTAGTACATATTGATGTATTATTTGATACCGACACCAGAGGGCCTCCAGAGGAACCTACAGTAGATCCAGAAAGACCAGCAGTTCCAGGGCTACTAAGAACCGTGGGGTTTCGCGACCCTGTGGTAGGAGTGGCTTCAAAGAGACGGGTCCTGGCTAGATTGACAGTGTTATGCATGAAAGCCGTGACACTGCTGCTGACCCCACCACTACCATTGTTTGTGTCAAGGGTGTCCTCGGCAGAACGTGAAGAGGGGACATTGCTGCCTGCTCCGCCACTAGCTGCACTCCCCCCACCACCTGACCCCATGAATAGGAAGGCGGCAAGACGCTTGCGACCCATCAATGTATTAAGATCAAGTCGAGTGATGTCGAGCTGTTGTGATTGCCCGGCAGCTACTTTCCCAGTGGCTGCGGGAGTCTGGTTTCGACCAATAACCGTCAAATATTCAGGAAGACCTTGAGAAGTACCATCTAAGTGGATGGATAATAGTAATTTAACCTGTAATAAATAAATAAATAAAGATGGCAAAGAAGTTAATTTGTCAATAGTCGTCCTAATTTAAGACGAATACGAATAAAAAGTAATAATTACAGGTAAATTTGAAATATGTCAATAATGGACATTTGAAAGCATATATGGCTTAAAAACTCAAGATGAGATGCATTTACTCAATCCTGTCTAAGGTGGTGAATAACTGGCGGTTAAATTTTTTGACAATGATATGAGTAGGCCTTGCTTTTCCATTAAAATTCGCATAGGTCTGCATCTCCAAAATGTATTTTCATTCAGAATGGACTGCAGTTTCGACCTCACTTGGGTCTCATCAGCACCCAGTTTTATCTGTTGTAGCAATCGACAATATTACTTATTTCTTGTTTATAGGAAGATTTTTTAGACTATCAGTAGATCATATATATATATATATGAGATGCATCCAACCTATTTTGTTTAAGGTGATTTTAAAATGTCGATTAAAAATTGGTTTAAAATCTAGGTTAACGAGAAGTGTGCAAGTATGCTGGTCATGCTATAATTTGTTGAGAAAAAGAATTTAAATTAAGTAAATGATCTCAGAGGTCACACTTACTCCAGCTTCGCAAACTACAGCAATTTTACATAGATTCCCCCTAATATTAAGCAAGAATGAGGAAATTAAATCCATTAAAAGTGGGTTAACCTCGCGGCTACTTGGGTTTGTTGTCAGGGCGACTATGTAGAACATACCTAGTCCGAAGTCGTCTGCCATAGTAGTTGTCATGATTCCCAGTATCTAACACTGGACTTGATACATTCTCAAACGCTTCGCCGGCATCGTAGTTGGCATCATCAGTGAGTTTTGCCATTCTCCGACCAGGCTAAGAATTCGTCAATGAGACAAGTAAAGTCAACCCCTCGACAACCGTTCTGCCGAAAACGGTTACACTATCACTCCTCTTTTTGTCCTTGCCTATTTACCTACTCTTTACCCTCTTATCTCACTGACGCCATATCACATCTCACTTGTTTACATTCCACTCGTCAAAATGTGTGCCCTTTTGAGGCAAATCTAGTGTGGCCCCATCACACTTGCTATTTACCCCGACCTTTCTCTTTCGATGGGCTTATACGACTCAGGCCTCCAATCCGGATCCCTTCATTGTCTCGTAGATCCGTTCCTTATCTTTCTAGTTAACCGATTTCACTCGGTTCCAATCCCAGTGTGCATTTCACATAAACTGGCGTTCCACTGAGCGGAGCGCTTAAGCACTGATTCCCATGCTTGCAGATTTCAGGCCTTCCCTTCACCGATCATCTCCTATGTTATTTGAACAAACTGTGAACGCAAATCTCAGGTCGCATGCGGCATCTTAAGTGAATTTCTAGAGCATTTTGGCGAGAAACGTCTAATTACTATGACGGTTTGCTTAT